ACAATTTTCTTACGTTTATTTCTTATGTTTAGGCGTGCAGCTTAAACCACATTTTGATTTTATTCAAATTACTCTATGATTATTATTTCATGTACCATTTTAATGTACGATTTGGCCGAGAGTTATTGTTTTTACACCTTTCGACCTATTTGTTTGGATAAGAAAATGTTCTTATTGTTATTCAAACAGTACTGTTCAATAAAAGAAAACTCAAAGTATCTTTTATGAAGCCGGTATACTTTGACAGATTTTACTTGAATCACTTTAAACGCAATTAAACGCAGATAATAATAAGTAAAATAGAGAAAAACAGAATCCCTAAGGAAAGTCCAATACGGCAAATTTGTAAAACACTGCAGGCTCGGTTTGATTGAGCCTGTTCATGGACAGTACTGGAAAGTGCAAGTTACCGACAACGACCCCTAGCACCTGCTTAAGCATTTAAATTTTTGAATTTAGAAACATCCGCAGATATGTTCATACGGCAGTTAGCATGGAATCTTCAATGTGACACAGCAGTGTCATTCCATGAAAAGAGACGTATGGTTCCCTAGTAAAAGAATGCATGTGCCCTTAACGGGAAGAAAATGGGCAAAAATAAATAAAATGGAATTTTTAAAGGGGATCTGAGGTTATGAAGCCTGCACATGACAGACAAGACGTCAAAAGACAAATTAAAAAGCAGGCAATATATCCTAAAGGTGATTATACAGTATTCAAAACTACCCAAGTTGAAAAAGACTAAATACAAGAAACTAAAAATAACATCTCAAATTTATACACAACAAGAATGTCTTGCTGAACGATCTTCAAGAATCGAAAATATAACATCATTGATTAAATGTACAGGGAGCCTTTTTACAGCTACCGCACGGCACAAATAACACTAATGTGACAAACAGAGAAAAACAGAATCCCTAAAGAAAGTCCAACACGACAAAATTGTAAAATGTTGCAGGCTCGATTTGATTAAGAATCATCTGCAGATGTGTTCATACGGCGGTTATCATGTCTTAGGGTCAAGACAATTAAAAGCAAACTTGATGCGGTTATATTAAATGTACTTTTGTTAAAAACAATGTCCACATAACTGTATTAAAAATGTTTAGTTAACCCTAACCAATAATGTTAAAACAATATTGTTGAAATATTTAATAAAACCAAGCTCACTTATAAACCACTTGCAAACACTCACTATCCAATCATCTATTTTGTATTAACATTCTTTAGTTAATAAAAAGTTGCTATCAATTAAGGTATGACCATTACCCACTCTAATGAAATAATGAAATCATGTTAGATTATAATTGCTGTTTAGGTATATGAAAAATAATTGTTTGAGGTGAGTATGGGTTGGTTCCTCGACCCATACTGATCATTTAAACGGGGAGAATTAATTGCTCACAAATTGTTGGGCCTTGAAAAAAGAAAAAAAGGGAAGCAAAAATGGAAATTGAATAAAGATATTTCTTCATTTATGTAATCAAAATTTCTACCTCTCTAATCCGACGTGCATTAATCTATGCTTTTCAAACTTCACTGTTGCTGAAAGGTAAGAATATTGTCCTTATTTTATATATGCAGTGTATATTGTAATTACATAACTTTATACGTTGTCAAATTGTTATAATATTTTATGAAATTCTGTGATATAATTAGTACAAAAATTCTATATCTCTAACATTATATGTATATCACTTATAGCGTTGCTTTGTCGAATTTCTGATGGTCCAAATGCAACTAGAGTTTTGCAGTTTTGCAATTTTACAGATTTCCGTTTCAATGTAGTGTTGCTTTTTGCTCTTTATTGCATACTATTCGAATAAAAACAATAACTGCATTAAAATTATATAAATTTACACAACAATGATAACCCTAAGCTGTAACTTCTTTTATTTCGCGTAGTGTACGCGCATTTGTCCAACGTCTGATGTCATTTTCTAAACGTGTGTCTGTTTCCATGCTCATTGAAACTATTAACTATGCTAAAAACAGAAAATTTGTTTGTGTTTCTTAAATTCGCTATATAACATTCAACGACGTCTTATTTCTTAACTTAGATGTAACAATAAATAAACATAAATTGTTTTCATGAAAAATCAAAAACCAAAATCTAAACGTTAGATATTAATAAGAAAGAGATATATTTTATGTGGGTATAATTGTAAATTGTTCATATATTTTTCATGATTAAAATCAAAATGAAAAAATCGTCTACTACTATCTACAACTACTGTAATTCAAACTAATCACATAAAAGTTTCCTTTTATATTGCGACATACTGTTGAAGTAAAAAAGTCACATATTGTTACAACCAATCAAATTATCTTATTTCCGCTCATACAATGAGAGGTCGTATAGTCGGACACGTCAAGAGGCTGTCCAAGTGTGCAAATGACAGAGACCTGTTACCGATGAAATATTGTTTACTGTAAAATTAAAACATGTAAAATGAATATATTTTGCGCATCTTAAGTTTTAAAAGCGATTGTTAAAAGTCAAGTTTTGTTGCTGTTTTGTTTTCAACAAAGAGAAAAATACATGTATACATATATAAATATTGTAATGCAACGCTAAAGAATAGAAACTTTTACCATGTGACATCATTTTGTCTATAATTTATGTTTTTTTAATTATTTCTATTATTTATTTGAGATAAATGATTTAATCATACACTTTGGCTGTCTAGGGATCACCCTCTATCCATATTTTCTTAACTCTAAAAGCAGTTTACGGAAATGCATCGTTGCTGTGGAGATATCTTGGAATATAAGACAAACTGAAACTATAATAGAAGAGACAAATAAATTATGTAAGCGATGCAACATTGCTCTTACCAAAGGTACAAGGTAAACGAAGAACACGAAAGAACGAAAACTTGATTCAAATTTAAAAGAATTTTATGATGAACAATTATCAATTACCCATGGAGAATTTTCTAATATGTCTTTAAGACATAGTTTAAGATTAAATTGTACAGGGTAAGTAAAATAAATACCATTAACTGGACTAGAACTCAACATATTTACGCCACACTTCACCCCCATTTAGTGCTGTATTTAAAACATGTGATGACCAGAGCTGCATTACTGGTACTGGTACTGGTACTGCAGTACGTACTGCAGCGATTTTGCAAGTACTGGTACTGATACTGAATTACTCTTACAAAATTTTGCTACTACTGGTACTGGTACTGCATTACTGTCTTAAAAAGTGGTACTGCTACTGCATTACCCAGTACTTTTGGTTTTGAAATTAAAAATAACATCAATTTTTCTCATAAAATAAAGCTGTAAAATACATTAACTATATTTTATTTTTGTGAAAAAGTAAGTTATCAAATCTAAAGATAATTTGCTGCAATATTCCTTCAAATGTTAACATAGTATTCATCATAAAAAGCACCAAAGACTTTAAGTAAAAATTAAATTAAGATAAACAGACTCAATAACTCTTTTAATTTCACTCTTTACCCTAAAATATCCTTATTAAAATCTTTTATTACTTTGTATTTATTAGTAAAAGAGCAAAATAAACACTAATTAATTTCTTCTATTCTAAAAAATCCCATTTCAAGTTAAAAAAGTGATATTGCTAGCACCATAAAAAGTTGTTATTTACTTTGGTTTAAATTGAACAGAGGTGTGAAGGTGTGAAAGGCAACAAAAGACTGTTGTGTTTTAAATGAAAGATGTTTCCATTGTATTTATACAGTTGACTGGTTACTAAACAATTAGATATGACATGAATATATGTTGTAAATATTGTTTGTAAAAAGTATGTTAAAACTATAAAGTTGTAAATATGTTATGTTAACTTTAAAGCAGCACGCCTCCAGATTCATCCTAATTTTCATGAAAATTTTGAAAATGTATTTAAATAAATGAACAAAGAAAGTACTTGACACCTTACAATCGGCACTTAAAATCCATGTAAATTACCAAAAAAAGGTCAAAACATGCATAAATAGCCCCTACTGCGTTAGTAACGCAGTAGAAATATGGTGATAAATACTACAAAATACAGTCATTAATTGCACATAAGATATAATTTATCACTTGAATCTTTAATTTGTTTACTTTTCTCAAAGTTTTAGTAATTTTTTTCCAAGTTTAATTTTCTTGAAATATTTTGGGTCATCTGGAGGCATGCAGCTTTAAAGTAAATAATGATTTTATTTCTTTGCTGAATAATATTTGCTATTATTTGTTTGACACTGTATTTATTCAAACTTTGATGAATATATAAAAGTAATGGTACTGATACTTAATTACTTCACCAAAAAAAGTACTGGTACTGCAGTACCGAGCTAAAATCTAGTACTGGTACTGGTAATGGTACTGCATAATTTGCCAAGTACTGGTACTGGTACTTAAGTACTACACCCTTAGTACTGATGCAGCTCTGGTGATGACTGTTCACAAAAACCAGTTTATTCCAAAACCTGTTAAAGGATTGAGGTTCTTCCAACAGAATTGCAACAAATAAATAGAAATAGATGTAATGGCAAACTTACGATGTTCAAGATAATAGTTAATTTTTGACAACTTAGGTGCACCTCACTTGAGGCAACATGACTTAACTTGTTTCTGTTATTATAAGGATCTATTATCAGTATATTGTGTCTACCGTCGCCTATTGCTCACAAACATGCAATGCAAACATCTTAAAACAATCTTTTAACATCCTTGAAATAATAAATGCATATGATTTGTAAAACTTAAATCATGTCAAAAATCCTATAGTACATCATGGCGCTATAACAATGTATTTATGATGTATGAAATTGATCAAACCACACATGTTTTTCGTATTTCACGGTTTAATTCGTTTCATTATGAACAATAATATGATATTTAGCTTTAAACTATGTTGTTTACTTTGCGTGGTTTTAATTTCTTTATTTTGTGTTTCTTTTCAACAAAATGGTAATTTTAAAAAAACATCTTTGAATATGAAATATCAAAACACAAGATCCAACAATTTTATTTTATTTAAGGATGGGATCTTCTGGAATGATTATGCAGAGACATTTGTTCCAAAAGGTAAGATTGTTTTATATATATTTTTTTATTCTTTTATTCAGATGTTATGACAAGTATGAAAAACAAAATCAAATAAGAAGGTTGAAACATTTGTTTTATATTTCTTAAATAATTACGAACTCGACAGTAATAATATCAATGTTATGTAAAACACAACTTTTGATTTAACTCATATCTATAAATGTAATAATACGAAGCATTAATGTAACAAACATCGAGAAACGATTTTCATATCCGTTGGACGGTATAGGTAAAAGCTAGTAACCCTTAAGCACCGGATTTTGCAGAATTCAACATTTAATCATGTAATAGGCCCAATTTGCATTTGAGAAACATCAATGAAAAACGGCGCAAAATATGATGAACAAGACCGACAAGGAAAGGCGGCGCTCAATGAACGCAGCCCCAAAGTCGCAAAGTCGAACCCAAATAAAATGCCTTTAATTTTAAAAAAAAGTCAATGGACGAAAAGAATTACAGTCAAACATGAATTAAGCGACAGCACAATGGAAACACCAAAAATATGAAAGCTGAGCTGAGGTAACGAAACCTACATATTAAAGACAAGACGTCAAAAGACAAATTAATAAAACAGGCAACATATTATCCTAAGGGAAATTATAATAAAAAGTATTCAAATAAAGTAGTGAAACTGGAACCATCCTAGTTGATAAAGGTAAAATCCAAGAAACTTAAAGTACCACTTAACATGTATACACCACAATAATGTCGTGTTAAACGATTTTCAAGGATAAAAAAATTAGCATCTTTGATGTATCGGGCGACATTTAACGACCTGTACAGGGCGGGAAAAAACAATGATTGTGGCATGGACGACCTTACAACATCCAAAGCGACAAAATTGAAAATGTTGCAGGCTTGCTTTGATAGAAGATGTTCATGGACAGTCCTTTTAAGTGCATCATTTTAAATCATTCAGTTTAAATCATTCAGAAGAATTCTACTTATACAATGCTGGACGCCATTCAGGCTTTCCGTTTTCCCTTTTACTCCTATCTCCTGAGAAATATGAGATATATGTGAAAAGGCGTCACCGGCAATAACATTGGAATTTTTGTCTAAAATACAAACATTTTAAACTCATATTTTGCAGAGTAGTAGGGATAATATGTTACTCAGTGTTGTCGGTATATAGATTTTTTTTGTAAATGGCTACTTATAAATATATTATGACATTGTACGATACACATTTTTTTTAAAACTTGTTTATAATTTTAAAGGGATGGAACAAGTTGACAGCATAAAATGCGTAGAAAAAATATCACATCAACGTGTAGTGAAGGTGATAAATGCAAATCAGTCAGTATGTGGAGATGGAGGCAATGCTATTGTCAAACTAAATGATGGATGTACAATGTGTGTAAGACATAAGAGATGGGTAGCAAAAACAAACATATATGGTCAGTCATAATTATCATAAAGTATTGACACATTTACCAATCGCCAATATTTTGACAATCAACACATTTAAGTTCGACTTAATCCCTTTCAATTTCGTGTTAAAATATCAAGGACTTAAACTTTGCGAGAGAAATTTAATGGTTTTATTTCAAAATAAGTTAAAAAAATGAGGTAACTCGAGAGCTGTGACAACAAATATTAGTCTATACATAGTTGTAAGATTGAGTAAGAGTAAGATTGACTGAGTATTTTCGTGAATGCAACAACTTGTGCACCCCTAGTATATGCTGATTCAATGAGTGATATCTAACTGAAGGGATCAGATCAAAATTAAAACATAGAACATGACCATAATTTTGAAATACACTCAGTACAAAAAGAAACGCAAACTGTATATATACCTGGTCATCTCCCATAGTGGATGTGGTGCAGAAAAAACTTCAATACCTTTTCAATATTTCATCCATGCTTTATTCAATAACACAACAATTTCATTGATACCTGCAAAATTACGAAAGTTTCAGCAGTTTAAACACAGCGCTATCGATCACGAAAATTTCAGTTTCAATACCTTGTGTGTCCACCCCTAGCATTGATAAGCGCCTGGCAGCGGCGACGCATAGAGGTCACTAACATAGCAATGGATGCCTGGGGAATGTTATTCCACTCCTGCACTGCGACACAACGAAGTTCCTGCACCGTCTGGGGCTGTGGCTGATGCTCATAAATGCGACGTTTTAGCTCGTCCCAAAAGTGTTCAATAGGTGCCATATCTGGCGACATTGCAGGCCAGTCTAGCACATTAATGTGGTTCCGAGCAAGAAAGTTTTGAGTCAAACGTGCTGTGTGCGGGCGAGCGTTATCCTGTTGAAGTGTCCCATGTCCCTGAAAATGACGGTTCATGTACGGTACGACAACAGGTGCTAGAACATCATTGACATATGTCTGAGCATTGACATCACGGTCGAACACTACAAGATCTGTTCTTCCAAACTGTGACATCCCTGCCCATATGTGAATGGAGCCACCACCCCAACGATTAAAAGTCTGAATACAGGCTTCGGCATAACGCTCGTTCCTGCGCCTCCAAACACGTGCACGACCATCGGCTCTGCTCAGCACTATTTAAGTTTCGTCAGAGAAAAGTACCCTGCTCCAGAATCTACGGATCATTCTTATGTGCACTCTAGCCCACCGTAGTCGATCCCGTTTGTGAAGTGCAGTGAGGCGTGATGCCTTGAGGGGTCTCCTACACTTCAAACCAACTTCCTTAAGCCGATTTAGAACTGTGTTTGCGTGTATACTGCGCCTGAAAAGTAACGCAACGTCTCAAAAAGGGCAAACCTCATCAAAATGTGAACAGCTCAAAATTTGATAAGAGGAAGAATTTCGGAAAGATAGCAATATTTTCACCTACCCGTAAGAACCTATTGTTCGTCTAGCTGTAGAGGACGCCGCTTCGAATCGATTACGTAGGTGCCCCACTCGAATATTCACATCCTGTCTCCTAGTGGTTATTCGTGGTCGACCGAATTTTGGTAAGTCTTTGACACTGCCAGAGGCATTGTACCTATTCTGTAGACGAGTGATAGTGCTAACATGACAATTAAATCGCCGTGCAACGTCAATCTTCGAAACACCAGCTTCAAGTAAACCAATTGCTTGATTCCGCAAATGTTCAGCAAGGCGCGGCATGGTTATAAAGTACTGACAGTTCAAATAAACTTGTTTTTCATGTGTACCGATTCATCACTACACGGCTACATGTATAGAAACTATCGGTAAACTATAGAGCACGGTGTGCACGTGGAAATGTGGTTTGTACAGTTTGCCTTTAAACTGCATTGAGGGAGGTTAAAAATAATGCCGTTTTGTACTCAAGTTAACAATAAAATGTCATTGAGAATATTAAAGGGAAAATTGTTTGTCCAAATTTAGTATAAACCTAAAAAATTTAAAAAATGAAAAAGTTGCGTTTCTTTTTGTACTGAGTGTAATTCATAGCGGCATGAGTGTAATTCAAAGGCTTGTAATGTTAAACATTCATATTTCATATCAATTAATGAATATGACTCAGGTAGGTGGTTTGCTATCAACAAGGATTTCAAGTAAAAAATCCCGATTAATAAATTGGTGTAAGACTTAGACGTCAAACAAGATGGTGCGGCTAAATAAGATCTCACTTGAGATTTCTGTATTGCCATAAGGGTCTAGGTCAAAGTCACTGATACTTTAAAAGAAAGTTTGTTTCCTGTCCATAGCTAGACTAACATACACATTTGATTTAAGCCTATTTTATAGCACTCCTATTGAAAGTCTCAACTTGGATTGCTTTTGACCCCCATAAGATCAAGGTCAATGTCACTGTTACTAGAAAAATTGTTTTATGTTAATAAATAGGGCAAATAAGCTTATGTAAAGACATCGCATTGGATGAAAATAAAACATAATATAAAGTGCATGTATGTTGTTTTATAAAACGTGAATGTCTACAGCGAATTATTTTTACATATTATACATTTAAATTATTCCTTTCTGCATTTAATATGTTTCAAATATGTCATTCACAGAAACGTCACAATTTTTGCTTTTTATGTGTTTAATGTGAATAGTTTCTGTTTGTATCTTCACAAACTTTACGTGGGTGTGGTTCATGTTTTCAAAAACCGAATTAGCGTTTAAAACATCTATGAGCCGGTAAACTGATAAAAAACCCAAATGACAAATTGATAAAAGCCATTTCGTCATTATAAATATGTTACAACCGCTGCACAACTTCTTTCATATAGAGGATTTAGCCGACATTGGACATTGTTACGATAGCAACAAGAACATGTAATCAAATAAAAATTCTAAAAATTAAGTTTTTTTGTCTGTATTTCTATCAAAGTCGACATTACGTTTTCCTTTCCCTTGCATAAAACTCTAACATCATAATTACATTTTTTGATTTCGTGCAATCTACGCTGCAATCGGCAGAAAAAGAATTGTACACAAAAATGATAAATGTAAGCACAAAGAAAGAATGTCAATAAACTGAAAAAATATAGTTTGTTAAAACCCAATTGTGATTTAAAGACGATTTGAAGGCTTCATTCAGTTGATTTTCTTATCTAAGTGTTTACTCGTGATTTGATTAAAATCATAAACTTAACTGGAGGTATTTATCATTTTTTAATAGCTGAATCCTTTGCTTTCTACTTATCTCGCTTACTTGGTATGGACAATGTTCCAGAGGTAGTGATTTCAAATATATCTTCTCCATTGTGGAAAGGAACTGATTTTATCAAACTAGGCTGGCGAGAACATGAATTAGTTGCAATGATCAGGTGGCTCCCAGACACAAGGTAAAAATATACTCATGTGTTTTATGATTTTATAAATTCACTTGAAAAATACTTTTACAGTGATACAATATTGCTGTAACTTTTTATCTCGAAGGTATGTGCTAGGAATTAAAGTTAACACAAATATTGACGTTCGGAAAATTCGGTGTAACACGAAAAATGTAACATTTAACCTAAAATATATGTTGCCCACTTAAATAATTTTCTGTGGCATTATTGTAACTATGTATATTTATTACGACTAAAAATTTCATATTACTTATTCCGAAACAATTGAACGATAAAACAGAAAATGCCATTATTTCAACTTACTCAATATTACTTGACCATGCTTGATACATATTTATATATTCAACATGCTTTAACGTTACAATGACACTACTTCTTGACACGACAGGCATGTTTTAAAGCAGATGTTTTAAATGAAGAACCTCATGAAAGAAAATCTGGAAAGGCATTGTTACTGAATTTATTAACTGCCTGTTCTCTTTCTTGCTTTATTGGTAAATTGTAAATGAGTCTGCTTGTCTTCAGAAAACAGAAACGTAAAGTATAATTCTTATTTACATACTTAAATTATTGCGAATTCCGTTTTCATTGAAAGAACAGGAAAACATTTTTATTTCTATAAGCATAAGGTAATTTCATCGCTATGCTAACATTATTTGCAGTCAAAAGGTATTCATGCCTTCGGTCATAAAAGATGCTGTTACATCAGGGAAGCCAGTGGACAGTGATGTAATTTATAATACAAATACGCTTAGAAGTAATACTTCCATATCGGAGCTTATTCAGTGGGGCACAATGATCATTTTTGACAACTTAATCGAGCATAATGACAGGTACTTTCAGATATAAACCATAATGAATAGTGCATTAACTATCTTTTTATCATGAATTGTTTTCATTTATGTTTACTGAAATGCATTTATTTTGGCATATAAAGTTAATGAAACCGACCAATGGCGACCATAATTCAAACCATAATTACAGCTCATTTCATAAAAAGCAAACAAAAAAATTCCTCCACACCCAAAGCACCGGCTTAAACAGAATTCAACAAATTTGAAACATCCGAAGATGTCAAATCGTTGTTATCGATAAACCTTCAATGTGTCATTCATCGAAAGTGGCATATGGTTCTAAATTAAAAAGCATGTGCTCAAAACGAGAAAACAATAGGAAAACTAAATAAAATGGAATTTTGAAAGAAGATGTTATGACGATTGAATATCGCAGATAAACAGTCAACGGCAAATTTAAATGCAAGCAACATACCTACGAGTGATTAGAAAATATTTAAATATCGAATTCTGGAACCACCTGATTAAAAGAAAAACCAGATTCGAAAGAACTAAAAGTACAAAAAAAGAAAGATGCACTCACAACAAAATCGTCGTTCAGTAAACCTGGTTGATTATATACAGTAAAACTCTTAATAGTTAACAAATAAAAAATATAAATATAAACAATAAATAAATAAAAACAGTACTCGATAGCTCCGAAGCTTTCCATTGAATCTTAATTTTAGCGACACTAGAATATGTCCCGACACTTTATTACCATATGTATTGTTTATTCATATAAACCCTTAAGATAAAATTATGAAGTAAAGAAACTCGTATTGTAGTTGATATATTGTTTAATAAGTTTTATCATTTTATTGACTTATATCACGCACAAAAACATCATATAGGGTTTGGGTTAGGGTTAGGGTAACCCTAACCCTAAAACATCATATGCAATATCCAAAACAATTTTCGGAGAAAGGGTAAGACCGATTGATAAAAAAAATAATATTTCTTAAAGCAAACTATGCAAATGATAAGCTGTTATTACAACTTTCATATATTGTCTTAAATAAACATATGTAATGTAGGTCTTGTTTTTTAATTATACTTTTTAATTAGACTAATCTCTTCATTTTGAAGAGTAATATTTGTCAAAGAAATTGAATAAATTGATTATAAGTATTCGTTTTTTTCTTTATTTCAAGGTTGAAGAAATACGGAATTGGCGTTGGCCACCGATCAATTGATAAATGTGCACGTAATGCCCTTATGTCATCGAATGGTAAAATATGGTTAATTGATAATGAATCAGCATTTTTTCATAAAGATCCTCAAAGTTATTTGACTTCCTTTAATAGAAAAATGCTTAGAACCATGTGTATTTTTGAATCATTTCTTGTTACAAACTTAATAAAACTTTCAAAACACCCGTCAGCTTTCCATCATGTATGGAAATATGCCATTACATTCGATCCATTATTAGATACTTTTGAGAAAAACATTTATTTCAATCTATCCGCTAAATCATTTAACAATCGACTAGATGAAACAATTGAGTGGATAAATCGCTGCAAGTTTTCGAGCACATTGAAGTGATGTTATGCAGGCATGAAGGTATTTGAATAAATGTTGTACGATATTAGTAGCTTCGAATTTGGTTAACTTTCATTTTGTTTAGCAAATTCACAAGCATGTATCATTTGACATTATAAATATGGATTGAAAACAAGTTTAATGATCTGGAAGAGGTCTGGAAGAATTTGTTTGCAATTAAAATATAGGAAAATTGCAGACTCGGTTTGATTGAGTTTGTAACATTTATGTTAAATCATTTAGATTGATAGATTCTCGTAACCAATGTCTTACAATATATGATCAGTGTGTTTTTCCATATACCAATATCCAATTTGGTTAAATTTTCAAATATTGCGTTTTGTTTTGATTTCTTAATTATGCCTTATCTAAAAAAAGGATAATATTTACAGATGTTTCATTATGTTTGCTATGGGTATATGATAATGGTTAAAGGGAAAAGCAATGTTAGAATAAAAACTTGATATCAGAAATAGAATACTATAAATAGTAAATCTGCAAATTTTCTGCCTTCAAATAATATTATTAAACGAATGATAACAAAATTTAAATCGCTAATTCACCGATTTCTTCAAATCATTATGCGTGGCTATGTTTGTGAATTGGCTGTATAAAAACAGGTGCGCGTGATGTCACTTTCCCACATCTTTAGATTTATGATAAATCTGGTAGAATCGTAGCGAAATATTAATATATTATAAAATATTGACCAGACAAATTAATTTTCACAAGAGGCGTAGAGAAGATTTTTTTCTGGTTGAAAATGTGTAGCATATCAAATAAATAATAATGTAAAACAAATAAAAAATCAACGTCTACCGGTCGCACCTCTTTAGGTCAGTAATGCCTGTTACACAAACAGTGCTATGTTCATCAAAGTCTCATCTTAATGTAGTTAAACAATATTTCACAGATTTAATAAATACACATGCTATTATTTAACAAAGTTTCACAATCAAATAATGGAATTAGATAAACAAACGCACCAACGAATAATATTGGCTGTTGATTACTGAACGGCGATAATTATCATTATTATAAAAATCCTGCTAAAATATGTTTTTAATAGTAATTATATTTCGGTCTTTCAAATAAAAGGTGTGAAGATACGTTATAATTGAAGTACACATTTCAAAAATATAAGCAACTCTTTTGTAAACATGTCTGTCAATCAGAGGTCAACGTATGTTGTTTCGTAGCCTAATGTTAACTGCAGACAAACATTTTTATTGGCTGCTCAAAAATCTAATTTGCATTATTTATTCACACACAATTGCTGGTTCATACTTCTTATGTCTAATACTGTGCATTATCCATTTTAATTGCTCCTAATTTGCACCGAATGTCCCTGTCACACTGTATATTGACGATTTTTATTGCTCCTGGTATGCCTCTGTGCCGACAGACCTTTTGATCATGCACAATGTTTCCCTGATTGGTAAATCACCTCTGTCAAATATTCTGATGACGAAATAGACATCTATTTTTTTCACTTCATCACTGAACTTAAGTGACCTAAGTTTCACAATGTAATGTACAGGATTTCTTAAAATAGCAACACATTTTTTCAGTTACCAATAATCATTTAAATGTTAAGTAGATTTATGATTTTTGGTTTTATTGGATTATATTTACGGAAGTGGAAATGCGCATCTGTGTGGGGGGAAAAAGCTATAGTAAGCTGGATAAACTCGAGAATATGGTATCTGTTGGTACCAGTTTTGACTGGATAACAAAATAACCCAACGGACAGTTTTGTTTTCATACGATATTTGTCTGGCTGCGCCATTCTCATTTTTTAGCCTCAGCAGATCTCTGCATATTGGATTTAGTTGAGATATTACGAAGAAAAAAAAATACATGACTGGCTATGTACCCGATTTACACATACAAAGGACAGCTTGTTTACCAAAAAAAGTTACAAAATAGAAGCATTTATCGTCAATTTTAAGGAGTTTTCCTCTCATTTTACTTATAGCACCCAAATTAAATTGACCAAATAAATTAAATGGTTTATCTTTGAAAATTAAGCAGTCATTGCTTAAATAATGTGTCAGTGATCATCAGCAATCTTGAACATCGGACAAATGTTAATTCATGTCGCGGCGTCTTTAATGAATAAATTAAAGCAATTCAGTTCTAGATAAGGGGCTATATCACTAATACATGTATACGTATATTTTGTAATGTATTGATTAAATTTCAAGTTCCTGTAATAATATATAATGTACGTTATAAGATTACTAAGTTCTTCATCAAAGTATATTTCATTTGTACCAGCGTTTACACCTATACCGGAAGTGGGTATAATACGTCATAGTCTCGGTCTCGTCTGTCTCGCGAGAGTGACAGAACGCCAAAATGGCGGCGCCCATGAACTTATTTCTCAAGTAATTAATAGTGTCTTAAAACACAAATGTCTCGGTTATACGGTTAATTTCAACAGAAAAACTGTTATCGTACCTCTTTTTAAATGATAAATATTTATATTAGACAGACATTAATCTATCCATTCCTATTCCTTTAAAGATAAAATAGTCAGGAAGTTAGGAATCGAAAAGTTTTATGCATCAATGAACATGTTCTCTTTAAGTTTGTATTTAATTCATTTGTAATTTAATTTAGTTTGTACTGTATCAATTTGCCACGACTTCCAAATATAAACTTATTTATGATAGATGCGCATGATAGGTTCTTAAAAAGTACTTGCGTATAGTGCTATACATATGACCATTTAGAAGAAAGTAAGTTAAAAGCACAACATGTACACAAAGAATAAAAATGATTTCTATAATCAATGCGGAAAATACAATTATATACGGGAATATACAGTCTTAACATAAATTTTAACATAAACCGGCGTTTTCGGGACGTATTTGTCTAATAAACTTACCAAGTATACGAGTCCATATAGGGAACACAGGGTATACGGAAAGTCCGTATATTGACCATGCATGTACAGAATTCCGTTTTTGTTTTATATACATGTACTTATATTTGTTCGTATTTTTGTAGTATACAGTGTAAAAAATCCCTTATACGGACTTTATCAAGGCTAGTTTCTATATTATACTATAGATATACAGTGGATAAACGGAACCGTTTTTTTAGATATATATGTTTGTGTTTTCTACTTATATAGAGGATATACCAAACCGTATTTTCTACATATACAGATGATATACGGAATCGTATTTTAACATATGAATATGATATACGAATCGTATTTTTGTTATATACAAGAGATACACGGACTGGTATTTTAGAGCTTGGTGTATATAGAGCTGAGTCTTTAGATATGAGAGAAAGAACAATATCAAATATATGCATGAACATTATTTATGACATGCATATGTGACTAAAAGTCAGGTTTGTACTTGCTTTATTATGCGTTTTGACTGAAAACTATTAATTCATATACAAATTATTATGATTATTTTTATCATTATCATTATTGA